AAAAATAAACCTTTAAAAAACAGAATAAGTCATATTAATGCAACCTCTCATTGCACCACAAGGAACTGTGACTCCACGTCCTGCACAGAAACGCTGCATGTGCATGGCAGGGAGGTGTGCATGGATGCCAGTTCAGGAGAGCAAGCTGCTGGGGAGGTGGCCTGAGCCCCCTCACCTTCCCTGCCCTGCACTGGTGTCTACTAGACACCCCCAGGGAAAGGCAGAAGTAGAGCACCCAATAATTCATCTGTAAACCCACAGAAAGAAAACCACGCCACACAGGCAGTCCCTTCCTCCCTCACTACTCTAATCACCATGAGTCAACCTTTTGGGATTTTCCTCCCACCAATTTTAGAAGCAGCAGCCAAGATAGGAGTTGAATCCAGTACAGCAGTGTACAAGTTTGTGGTGAGAGGAGCTCTTCTACTCTTTACCAACATCTTGTTATCAACAAGTAGATAGTAGATGGTTCTCATGTTTGCCTGCCAGCACCTCCTAGTTTCTTTTGAGGAACTGTTTCTTCCCTGTTCCATATGAGTCTCATGATGCAATTAAGCACAAACATGCACACAGAAACAACTGACCCAGATTGGGTCAATCATCATACCTCATTGCCCTGACCACAGTGACTGCCCTAGGAATAGGCATGAGCTATGATGACCCAGTGGAGCCCTTCTCTATGTAGGCAGAGAGTGAGAGAAGTGCCTTTCCCACTGGGGCTGGTTGCTAAACTGGAAGGATGTTTCCATGGGATTTTCATTAACTATCTTCCTCATTGCATTAGGAGACCTTGCCTGCAGGAAGAGGACGAGCCAAAGAGGGAGGGCAGAGGAGAGAGACTGACGCCCACACAAAGCTATAGCAGCAGCATTGGAGCCTCAGGATCCAGCCAAGCTTAAACCATAGCCACCCCCCACGCACCCTCAGTTCCAGAGTTGCAGGAGTCTTATTTAGCCTGATTGGAATCGGAGTCCTGGTACTTACAACCAGAGCTGATATTTAGCTTATTTACATCCATAGGGTGGTAATGATACAGAAGGGCTGGGCTCTCGGCTAAATCTCACCCTTAAGCCTTGAACCACACCGTAAGTGAAAACAGCTGACCCTGTTTTTTTCATCAAAATGTTGCCTTTTTGACCTGCCCCACCCCTAGCCTGTGTCCATAAAAGACTTCAGCTGGCAGAGCAATACAAGCCGCTGAGTGTCGAGAATACAAGTGTCTAAGCAGTGAGCAGAGAAGCAAGTGAGTGTCAGAGACTAAGACAGATGCAGCTAACCTCAGACAGCGTGGTTCTGGAAAGGGGCCCCGTCCGAAGACTGCCAGGTTTCAGAGAACAATCACCTTCCCATTCCCTTTCTAGCCCCGCTTTCTGCTGACAGCCACCCACCACTCAATAAAGGCTCCTGCATTCATCGTCTTTTAAACAGTTCACGTGACCTGATTCTTCCTGGACACCAGACGAGAACCTGGGTGCTGAGAGGGCGGGGGCTACCACCCTGAACTTCCACTGAGCTGCTTGGCACTTGGCCATCCCTAGACGGCAGAGCTGAAAGAGCACTGGTTGTGACACACTTGGATGTTGCTGCAGGGCCCGCACAGAGCCTGATCGCGCCAGAGAGGAGCGACCAACCAGTTTCAGTGTTCATTTGCTCCAGTTCTCACACTCACTTTCACACGCTCCCGCGTGGAGTGGCCAGCAGCAGGCTGAGTGAAACAAGCCACTCCAGTTCCCACCTGCGAAGGGGGTCACACGATCTTTCCCGTCTCATTATCTACAGTTTATGGTCAGCAGCCATTTTGACTGTGTTATTGGTTGTTTAATATTTTGATAATCACCACAGCTTTCAGCAAAAAAGTCCTGACCCATTGGAGTAGGTGGTTAGCAGTGCTACCCGGGCTGTGAGTGGGCAGCCTCCATTCCCTGCAGCCTATGGCTGCCTCTTTAGAATTTCTTCCTCCCCAGATCCCACCACAACAGGGGATGAGACCTGAAAACTCTCTTCCCATCCCTGACATGTGAGGAGGAGAGCTGCAGGGGCAAAACTAAGCTTTTATTCCTTATCTTGACGTAGTCCCTGGCTAGAGACATCCCAAAAGACAGGACACAAGACTCCACAGGTATGTTCCATAAGGAAGAGATCAGAGCAAAGTCAAGGAAGATGAAAAATGACTGTTCAGAGAGCAAAAGTTCAGAGAAACAGTGGGTTCTCCTCCTCCTGGGAAGATGGCACTGCCCATAGAAGGATAAGTACAGTTTTCCCTTTATAGGAAGACTGAGCTATGAGTGGGAGGCTGGTGAGCATTCCACACGCTATGTACTGAATTATGTCCCTGCAAAATTCACATATTGAAGCCCAAACCCCCAATATGATGGTATTTAAAGATGAGGCCTTTGGGAGGTAATTAGGTTAGATGAAATCTTGACTGTGGGGTCCTCATGATGGGATTAGTGCCCTAATAAGAGGAGATACCAGAAAGTTCTCTCCCCTGTCTCCCCTGCCCCTCCTCCCCTCTCTTTTTGTTTCCCCACCATGTGAGGACACAGTGAGAGGGTACCCATCTACAGACCAGGAAAGGGGTCCCCACCAGAAACTCACCTCACTGGCATCTTGATCTTGGACTTTTGGCCTCCATAACTGTGAGAAAATAAGTTTCTGTTGTTTAAGCCACTCAGTCGATGGTATTTTGTCATGTTAACCCAAGCTGACTAAAGCATCATGAAACCAAGAACCTGGCTGAGTATATGGATTCTGAAAGCAATGGAGCAACCCAAAATGTTGAGAAAACAAGCCGAGAAGATGGTTCAGCCCTTCAGCCATGCAGATGAGAGCAGGGGTACCCTCAGAATTTTGCTGAATGACCCCAGGCTGCCCCGGCTTTTGTCTACAGTGATGTCCTGGTAATATTTAAGCTCAGTGTTTGCTGACTCCACAGCATCCTCCCAACCAGGCAGGAATTTCAGCCCCACAAAGATGCACTACAAACCCTCAAGAGGAGTCCTCAAAAGCTACCCCACAGGTTCTCACAGATTGGTAGGAGCAGAGCAGCCATCCCTACACACCTGCCTCCACGGCTCCACCTTCCCCATGGCTCCTGCATGGCCTCTCCACTGTTCTGCTGACTTCACTCCCCAACGGGCCTCAGCAGTTCAGAGGCTGTTTATGTAAAGGACACAGGACAAGAGTGGCATCTCTGTGTTATGCGCAGTTGTAGAGCCTCACCAGCCCCAAGGTGTGACAGGCCTTGGGCCTGGATTAGGGCCACTTACGCTGACTCAAAAGCAACACAAAACTCTAAATGTTAGGAAGAAGAGATGGGAGTCTCATTCCATGGCTTCTTGTGCAAACTGATCCATCTTCTCCCCAGATTTTAAACACCAATGCCACCAGTCACCATGGCAAAAATATGGAATTAACCTAAGTGTCCATCAATGGATGACTGGATAAAGAAAATGTGGTACACATACACAATGGAAAATGATTCAGCCATTTTTTAAAACAGAATGAAATCATGTCTCTTGCAGCAACATGGATGGAACCAGAGACCATTGTCTTAAGGAAAAAAAGTCAGATGCAGAAAGATATCACATGTTCTCACTCATAAGTGGGAGCTAAATAATGTGTACACATGGACATAGAGTGTGGAATGGTAAACACTGGAGACTCAGAAGGGTAGGGGGCTGGGCAGGGGTAGATGATGAGAAATTACTTAGTGAGTACATTAGGTAACATACGTATGTTGGGTGATGGATACCCTAAAAACTCTGACTTTACCTATATACAATCTATGCATGTAATAAAATTGCACTTTGGCTCTTCCAAGTCAGACATAAAGTCCCTTTACCTCTTTGCCCAGAGCAGGCACTCTGATGCCTTACAGTAACACATTAAAAGAAACAACTCGACTCCTCTAACTCTTCAATTAAAGATCTAGTCCCATGTGACTCTACTTACTAAGTACACAGCTGTCAGTTTCTCTCAAAAGCAAGCAAAAGGCTCAGGGAAAGTACCCTATCAGGGCACCTTGTTATACAAGTAAAGGCAAATAAAAGCAGGAAGGGGAGTTGTCACTGACCCCCATGGGCCAGATATAGCCACATCTCTGTTCTAGTCCAGGCCTTGTGTCACAGACACACCATTACCAATTCAGTTACCATTCAGGTACTTCTCAGAAAAGACTTGAGGAAAGCCAGTGGTGCTTGGCAGAGCACAGAGCGTGGATGTTAACAGTGGCCAATTGCCTAAAGAGAGCATGCAAGAGAGAGACTAACTAGTGTAACATGGGGAAAAAAACAGCCAGTCCTGGGGAGGGAATTTGACCAAGCTGCCAGCCAAGATTAACAGCACAGTTCCTCATCACCCATCAGAGGGCTATGCTTGATTTCCCAATACCCCTTCTCAATATGTTTCTCCCTCCATATTAGACTCTTACAAGGGTATGGGAAGTTTCAAGAAACAGGACTTTTAGGGGGCTCGTCTCCTTTCCCCACTCCAGGAGACACTTGGCAAGCCCATGCCTGCAAGGAAGGTAGACATTCAACAATGGGAGTAATTTGCCATCTTTCAGGAGAATGAAATACTGGGTGCATTGTTTCCTCCAGGCCCCACCAAGAAGAGGGGAACAGAGGCCCCTTATCTCATGCCTCAGCCCATCATACTACCTCCCTGAGAGCTCATGCATGTTTGTTTTTCTGGCTTCTGGAACCTCTGCTTGGAGCTTTGCAGAGTTCCATTTGTATCCCTGGCTTTGGTTTTTAATTTACAGTTTTGCTGCCATCATCAGGAAGACTATGGGCAAAAGCAATGGCAGTTCACTGACTAGATAGACAAGAGGGCTCAGGGTCTTGGGAAATTGTGCTTGGTGGAGAGAAACACAGGATACAGAAGCATACCCTGGAGAGGCATCTTAGCTCTGTTAATACCCAAAGCATCTTTACAAAAATACATTAAAGGTAAATTTAGACTAAGAGACTTCTTAAATGCATAGCCACGTTAACTATGACAAGGAAGCCCGTAATCTGCTTAAGGTCACAGCAAATTTCAATACATTTTGCAGCTGTGCCCCAGAAAGGGATTAAAACTTGTTCTTGCCTTAAATAATTTAATCACCTGAATTATGTGCTTTATTGCTTATTTGAAGTATGGCAGTAAATTAGAAAGTAGGTGCTTTAAAAGCACTACTAGTAGCTTTATGCCTTTGGGATAAGAATAATTGGAATTCTGTGAATGTTTGGTTTGGAGATTGGGAAGCCAAGGGTGGAAGCTATATTGGTATATCTGTCTCTCACTGAATTTCGAAATCCCAGTAATGTCTCATATATGGTTGGAACACAAGAAGTATTTGTTGGATGCATGAACTTGGAAGGGAAATGTTAATTGTTTTGCTGCAGTACATCATCTCGTAGTCAGCATTTCTGGGTTCGATTATTTCATGAAAATATGTGTTTATGTGTGCCTAGTCCCTAAACACCATGAAGATTTACATTGCCCTATGCAACTGGGTATTTTCCAAAGGTAGACTGTTCTTTGTTAGCTCTATATGAGGTCAGAAAAGAAAAACAATAAAGGAAACAAAATTGCTTTTCTTGACCAGGACTTTTTTTATGAAGACATGGAGTCCTTGACGCAAGTGCTTAGGGCCTTGGCAACAGATGGAAATAAACATCGGGCCAAAGTGGACAAGAGAAAACAGCGGTCAGTTTTCAGAGATGTCCTGAGGGCAGTGGAGGTAGGCTTCTTAAATGCTGTAATAGCTTCTCGTTTTGAATTGGATTGTGTCAGGCTACTAAACTTGACAATTGGGCCATTTTGTTGATTGAATTTCACCTTTGAAAATAATAACTCATTTTACAGCCTAGCAGGTGTTTAACAATATAAGTGAAGACTTTTGTTTTTTCAAAGGAAAATTAATGCTGATGTATAAAGATACTTTATTTTAGTTTTTTTTCTTTTAAATCAAAAGACTCATAGTGATAGAAATGTATTTGACCTTGGTGTATTTGTCATTTAAACAGTGGTGCTTAGCATATACATTCTTAGTGTACAGTGTTTTTTGTGAATTTAGTAAGTTATTGCCTACCCCTTAGACTCCAACCCAGCTTCATTGTCTTTTACTTGTTTATTTATTTATTTATTTGAGATGGAGTCTTGCTCTGTTGCCCAGGCTAGAGTGCAGTGGCACGATCTCGGCTCACTGCAACCTCCACCTCCCGGGTTCAAGTAATTCTTTGCCTCAGCCTTCTGAGTAGCTGGGATTACAGGTGCCCACCACCACACCCGACTAATTTTTTGTATTTTTAGTAGACACGGGGTTTCACCATTTTGGCCAGGCTGGTCTTGAACTCCTGACCTCGTGATCCACCCGCTTCAGCCTTCCTAAGTGCTGGGATTACAGGTGTGAGCCACCGTGCCAGAGCTCTTCATGATCTTTCTAGGAAAGCTGGAGGCTAAAAACTGAAATAACAAAACCCAGCATTTTAACAAGCCACTTAAAATCATTATCTGATGCTTGAATTTCTTCTATAATTCTCAAACCTGTTTCAATCTATGTGGCAAATAAATTGGTTTAGAATGCATGGCTAAAATGAACTATAGGACAAAAGATAGTTTCACTGGAGAAAACTGAAAACTTTAATAATTGTTTTTGGTAACCCAGGTAAATATTTTTGGATTTAAAGGGTGTGTTTCTTAAGATTATTGCTATCTGATAATAGCAGTTATTTAAGAATATCTTCAAAATGTCATTCAACTTGATGTGTGTATGAAAATTTAAAATGAGAATTAAACTGGAGATAGTGAGACCCCACACCAGATCCAGTTTAATATGTTCCAGGGAATTCTTATATGTATCCTACTTTCTTAATTTTAATCTATTTTTAAAAAAGTAAAATCTAGGATACAAATTAGATCCTTTGGCATTTAAATACTTTGGTTAATGCTGACTTATCACATTATAGTAGTATTTTGTATTTACTCTGGATATTATAGTCTAAAAAACAACCTAACTAGAGCAAGTATCCATATTAAGAATTAAAATTAGTCTTATAATTAGTGTGGCAGTATCTCTAAAGTAAGCCATTTTCTTTAAGTAACTATAAACTATTCCTGTATTTAGATTGTTTTTGAGATACTATAGTCTTCAAAAATATGATGACATGTCCTAGATTTTCTGGATGGACCTGATTTCAAGTTTTCTGCCCTGATGCGTCACCTTTGAGTAGTAGATTGTAAGGTCTCTACTGGCCGTCAGACTGGGCCAGCCATAGCACTCAGTACTGATTATTCAGAGGAAGACACAAGTGACATTTCAGCCTACACCAGTATTAACAGCCCGTTGTTGCGTATTCCTCAGACACTATTAAATGGAATCCATTCCTATGCCATAGTGATCTACCTGCCCACCTTCTTTTCTTCATCTCAGGATCTCCCTTGTCCCTCCAGCCTCTGCTTCAATGCACCTGCCTGAGAAAGTCCTGTCCTCAGGACCTTGCTAAGGGTGTTTCTCTTTTCTTTTCACTGGAACCTAACTTTTTCTGGAGTACCCAGCTTCTCAGATGGGTCTTTTGAATGAAGGTTGCTCAACTGCCACAAAGGAGATGTAAACATCTTAGGTGTCGTAGTGGCTGCCACACCATTTCTTTTCATTTAAAACCTTTCTTGAGGCTCATGCATTCCTCAAATCAGTGAGCACTTAATATTTTAGGTGTTTTGCCATAGTTTTCTTACTTCATTTCATTATACCTCTTAAGCAATAGAATCGTCTCCTTTTAAAGGAGAAATGGGGACCAAAGGAATAGAGAATAGTTAAGTAGCAGAGCTGAAATTTGAACCCACTGTTCTGTGCTCTTTGAGCATGGCCCAATCCTGTATACAGATAGGTCAAGTGAGAGAGTAACCAGTTTCACTTAGGTCTGTCGATTAGGTCCTTGGTGACCTTTATAAGAGCAGCTTCAGTGGACTGATGAGGGAAAAGCCAGATTGAAGTGGATTGAAAAGTGAGGAGTGATTAAGTGAAGATGGTATGCCTTGACTATTTTAAAAACCTTGGCTGTAATGGGAAGGGGAAGAGAGTTGATAGTTGGAATGTAGTGGCGGATTGTGGGAAGGTTTGTTGTTTTGTTTGTTCTAGACAATAGAGACAATTTATGGAGAAGGAACCAGTGGAGAAAGGAGCATCTGAAAATGTAGTCTGTTTCTTAGTATCCATGAGGCATTGGTGCCAGGATCCCCCTCAGATACCAAAATTTGAGTATTCAAGTCCCTGATATAAAATGGCATAGTATTTGCATATAACCTATGCACGTATACTTTAAATCATCTGTAGATTACTTATACTTAATACAATGTAGGTGCTATGTAAATAGTTGTTATACTTTATTGTTTAGGGAATAGTGAAAAGAAAGAATAGTCTGTACGTGTTCAGTGTAGTTGCAATTTTTTTCTGAATATTTTCAATCCATGGTTGGCTGAATCCATGATGCAGAACCAACCAGATATGGAAGATTGACTATATATGTAAAAGATTGGGATTAACCTTGAATTGTGGAGGGACAGAAGTCTATCTGTTACCACCAGGAGAGACGATAATAGGTAAGGATGCTGATGACTTTATAGAGGGTTGGTGGGAAATAGTTGTTTCCTGGTGCCTTAATGTTTTCTGAAATAAACAAGGTTAAAATAAGATAACTCTGCTGTTATTTATTTTTGAGCTGCTGTTACGCACCAGATGGTCACTGTGTTTGCCTCACATGCGTGTCCTCTTTTACACCTGTAATAACCCTCATGCAGTGTAGGTAAAGATGGCCCCATTTTACGGGCAAAGGAACAGACTCAACAAGGTTAAGTTACTTGATGAAATCACAAGCCCGCAAATTTGCCTGTCTGTGTTGTCTAGAGTTGACGGTCTTTTCTATTACATTATATACTTTGTCTGCTGAGTGAGAAGGGGCTGAGGTAGATGTCTGGAAGCAGGTGGAGTGGTTTTGTCCTTCAAGTTCCGTCTCCTTTCTCCTCTCCCTGTGGCAGTCAGCTTCTTCCTTCTTGGTTGCTCTGACATATTCATGATTTACCGAAGAATTAAGTAACCAGTTTTCTTCTTAACAAGTTCTACCACTATTCCAGCTGACTTTTCTTTATCCATCTAACTTTTATTTCCGTGTCATTTGGGCTGCACTCCCGTGGTTATACCTTTGAAATGGTCTTCTGACAGAATTGTTCCATTACTAAATCTTAGATTCTAGTGTTACCTCTTATTTTCTTATAAACCTAGCCTGAAACCTCTTGGAGCCCTCTGGTTGCTGGACCTTTCCTTTTTGCTTGGTCAGTTAACCCTATTTACCCTCACTTTCTTCCCTGGATCCCTGCTGCTCATTTCACCACCCCCTGTTTGTGGTGCCATTGTGTTTTCCTGACTGTTTGCAACTTTCTTCCCTCTCCCATCCTAGGCCATTAAAAACACCTGACCTTTTCTTAAGTTTGTTGAGACATGTTGAAATTTAAAGATGTTCTCAACAATGTGGTTTTGTGCCTTAATAGTTATTGAAACTCAGTTGAGCCTTCAAGTTTATCAAAACTAGACCAATTCTGTACCCTTACATACAGGATAGCAATAGTTTGTCTACATCTCAGGTATGACAGTATCAGTTTAAGCCATATTGTTAATTTATTTCAGCATGTATATGACTGTTTAGAAATTGTGTTTACATAAGATCCCTTTGGGCCATTTTAGTGCCTGTGGTAATTTTGGTTCTTCCATTGGTTAGGAACGGGATTTTCCAACAGAAACCATTAAATTTGGTCCTGAACGCATGTATATTGATTGCTGGGTAAAAAAACACACCTATGACACCTTTAAGGAGGTTCTTGGATCAGGGATGCAGTACCACTTACAGGTAAGTATCATCCTTTCTACGTATTTGCTTTTAAAGTAGGGAGCAGTCTTGAATGTAGCTTTTAAAGTAGGGAGCAGTCTTGAATGTAGCTCACTTAATGGGCTTTTGAAATGAATTAGGTATCCAGAGTGCTTCCACGTGTTAGAAAACAGTAAACTTATTTTTGAAAGTAGACTTGAATAAATCTGAAGCTGTTCCTTTTTTTTTCCTCTTTGTATTGTTGAAGTTGGGTGGACTGTTACCGATGTCAGTATGAAAGCAAATAGCTTGACATAGCTTTCTCAGATTCAAGGCATTGAAAACAATTTGCTCTCATATTGAGAAACAGAAAATAAGTGATCTAAGTTTATATCTGTAGGTTCCACATAACTTCTGTTAATCAGTCACTCTATCTGGTGAAAAAGAGCTATAATGTTTAATACTGAGCTGTACTACCTTTTTCTTTCACATAAGTCAAATGAATTCCTTCGAAATGTATTTGAACTTGGACCCCCAGTGATGCTTGATGCTGCAACACTTAAAACGATGAAAATTTCTCGTTTTGAAAGGGTAGGTTTGTTTTTATTTTAATAAAACTAAATGCGCCAAAACTTTGATTCTGTCTGGTTTCACCAAGTTAGCTGTGTCTACCTATACTTGGGAGTTTCAGTTTTTCATGATGTTTCATATAGAACAGCTGTACTAAAGATATAGAAAGCATGTAGAGTGGGGGGGCATATATATATGCACACACACACACACGCGTATATATATATATACACACACACATAATACACTTGGATATGTACACACACACATATATATATGTCAGCCTGGGTGACAGGAGTGAGACCTTGTCTCAAAAGGAAAATGGAGAAAATAATATTGCAGCTTATTTGCCCATGAGGTATATTTCTTTCATTTTATGAAACATATTTTGACAACACATTAAATGTAATATGTACGTATATATTTTACATATAATCCTATCTTAATATAGGAATGATGTTCATATTTTGTTTCTTTTATTCTATGGAGTTTTTATGTTTAAGAATAAGGATTTACATAGTCCTTTTGTATCAGATAATAGCCTACTAAGTGAAGTACCAGACTCATTTTACAAATGAGGAAACTTAAGAGGGTTTGTAGCATTACATAGTAATTAGTATGTTGTTTTTTGTTTGTTTTGTTTTGTTTTTTTGAGACAGAATCTTGCTTTGTCGTAATCTCAGCTCACTGCAACCTCTGCCTCCTATGTTCAAGCGATTCTCCTGCTTCAGCCTCCTGAATAGCTGGGATTACAGGTGTGCACTACCACACCCAGCTAATTTTTGTATTTTTAGTAGAGATGGGATTTTGCCATGTTGGCCAGGCTAGTCTCGAACTCCTGACCTCAGGTGATCCACCCACCTTGGCCTCCCAAAGTGCTGGGATTACAGGCATGAGCCACCATGACGAGCCTACATTTCAGAAATCCTTAATTTATGTATATTATTTTGTGTTGAGATGAAATTCACGTAACAGACTATTTTAAAGTATACAGTTCAGTGGTACTTACTACATTCATGATGTTGTGCAACTCTAGTTCCAAAACATTTGCATCTTTTGGCCATTGTGAATAGTGAACTGTTTGCATCTTTTGGCCATTGTGAATAGTGTTGCTCTGAACATTCACATACAAAATTTTTTTTTGAAAGGCTCTTTGCAATTTTGGGAGGTATTACCTAGGAGTAGAATTGTGCTGGGTCAGATGATAGTTTTACATTTAACTTTCTCAGAAACCACCAAACTCTTTTCCATAGCTGCTGCACCAGTTTACATTCCCATCAGCAGTGTAGAAAGGTTCCAGTTTCTCCATATCCTCACTAATAATTATTTTAATTATAGCCATTCTGGTGGGTATGAAGTGTTTAATTACATTTTATAGAACATAGTTGTTTCTTGTATGGCATTTTAAGTTTTGTAAGAAACATTAATATTTTTACATACTTTTCTCTTTCGAATAATTTTTTTTGAAGAAATCCCCTGCATAATGTATTGCCAGATTACCTTCCAAAGTTACTCTAATATTGGAGACAATATTTAAATTGTCTCTAGCAATGAATGAAGGCATGTAGTTGTTACACAAAGATTTGACACCTTCAAGTTTTATAATTTAAAAAATTTAATTGGTATTAAAATGGCACCTCATCACTTTTTTCCTTGTTGTTTTAATTGACAGCCAAGTAGGACTGTTTTCCACATTAGTCATGATTTGTCTTGGATCATGGATGAAACTAAATGTTGATGTCCTTTTTTCACTGTTGTTTTTTGAAATTGTCTTACTTTCTTGGTGTTTTGCAAGTTGATTAGTGCTTTTCTGAATATGGAATAGCCATTAACTGTTTTTTTTTTTGAGACGGACTCTAGTTCTGTCGCCCAGGCTGGAGTGCAGTGGTGTGATCTCGGCTCACTGCCACCTTTGCCTCCCGGGTTCAAACGATTCTCCTGCCTCAGTTTCCCGAGTAGCTGGGACTACAGGCATGTGCCACCACGCCTGGCTAATTTGTTGTATTTTTAGTAGAAACGGGGATTCACCATGTTAGCCAGGATGGTCTTGATCTCCTGACCTCGTGATCCACCCACCTTGGCCTCCCAGAGTGGTGGGATTACAGGTGTGAGCCACCTCACCTGGCCCCCATTAACTCTTTGTTTTTCTCCTTCATTCTTTGTGTGTATTTTATAAACATTTAAAGGTTTATAGGTTCAAATTAGTTCATTTCTTTTCTTTGTGACTTTTACCCTTTTTCAGTTTTATAAGAGTATCTTAAGTCTTACTGATGCATGTTTTTCCTTTTCTTCATTTCAGCATTTATATAACTCTGCAGCCTTCAAAGCTCGAACCAAAGCTAGAAGCAAATGTCGAGATAAGAGAGCAGATGTTGGAGAATTCTTCTAGATTTTCAGAACTTGAAGACTATTTTCTAATTTCTATTTTTTTCTATTTCAATGTATTTAAACTCTAGAGACGGTTTTTATCTTGGATTAACTTAGATAACTTTTATAGTAGGAGTTATATTACTTATAATTTAATGTACAGTATTGAAACTGGTGAGTTCTGATTATTAAATATTCTCTGTAAATCAGTAAACATGTATAAAGTGTTTGTAATGTCATAATTGGTCATAATTTATTTACGAAGACAGCAAAAAACTTTGATTTCATGATGGGGAAAACTATTAGCCAAAGTTTAATTTCTTACACTGTGGTTGTCAAAAATACTGATTTGCTATAATGATATATACATACAAGATATTTAACTTAATATCTTAGACAAGAGTTCTGGATACAATTTTGGGATCTAGTTCCCTGGAAAAGCTGCTGTATTTTTAATTTTTAATGGAATGTAGCTTTTAAAATCCTGTTACTGGCATCAACAAAAGGAATTATGCCATGAGACCTTACAGTTGTACTTAAAAGCCATTCAGTTCAGCTATTGGGAGTTCACGATGAATTAGCATATGCCAGAAAGGTTGCTAACCTTAACATCTGAGAGCAGTAACACTGATTTTATCTGCTGTATGAGACTTTGTGCATTTCACTTTGAAATAAAGATTTTTTTCACACCGAAAGTGCGTCTCTTCTAATAGAAGAAACATTATTTTTTTTTTTTTTTTTTTTTTTTTTTTGAGACGGAGTCTCGCTCTGTCGCCCAGGCTGGAGTGCAGTGGCGCGATCTCGGCTCACTGCAAGCTCCGCCTCCCGGGTTCACGCCATTCTCCTGCCTCAGCCTCCCGAGTAGCTGGGACTACAGGCGCCCACAACCGCGCCCGGCTAATTTTTTGTATTTTTAGTAGAGACGGGGTTTCACCGTGGTCTCGATCTCCTGACCTTGTGATCCGCCCGCCTCGGCCTTCCAAAGTGCTGGGATTACAGGCGTGAGCCACCGCGCCCGGCCAGAAGAAACATTATTTATGGCTTTGAGGTACAGAGTCCAAAATGACTAGGCCAGGTGGGCAGGGAGACAAAACTTTATGTATATATTTGCAAACATTAAAGTAGATGAAAAGAATGTAACAATACATAATTGGGATTAAGGTTTCTGACTTTCGAGAATATTGCTGCTTGGCAACGTGCAGTGGCTCATGCCTGTCATCAGCACTCGGAGGCTGAGGTGGGAGGATGGCATGAGCCCAGTTTGAGACCAGCCTGGGCAACAGCGAGACCCTGTCTCTACCAGAAATTTTAAAAAAATGAGTGTGGTGGTGTGTGCCTGTACTCTTTATCTACTTGGGTGCTGAGGCAAGAGGGTAACTTGAGCCCAGGAGGTCAAAGCTGCAGTGAGCCGCGATTATGCCACTGTGCTCCAGCCCGGGTGACAAGAGTGAGGCCTTGTCTCAAAAGCACAATAGTAAAAAGAATATTGCTGCTTGTTTGCCCATGAGGTATATTTCTTTCATTTTGTGAAAAGCGTTTTGACAGCACATTCACATTTAATAAACTTTAGATTAAAATACATAGTGCAAGCAACGTGCCATTTCAAATCCATAGACTTGTTTCTTTGATATTCTTGGTGTAGGTCACAGTGAGGAATAGGGAAGCATATACACTGTAGGGAGAAGTATCAAAATCATTTAAGGTCTTTTTTCCAAACTAGTGTTCCTCTCCAACATCCAACAACTCTTGGAAGTCTGGTGCTCCCTCTAGGTGAAAATCATTTGCTGTCGTATGGAGTCACTGTTGCTGAGTTCCATCCCCCAGTTACAGTACAGTGGAAAACAGGTTTAGAATCTAGAACTTGTTTGTATGTTGTCACTTGGTTATATTCCAAGTAGGTTAGAACCATGGAAAAGAGATTGCAAATGGTATAGTTTCTTCTAAATATTCAATTGCATATATGTCTGTATATGTAATTATAAATAAAAATGAATTTTTATTGAACTGTTACATGAACATAGGTTTTTGTTGGTTTTTGAGACAGAGCCTCGCTCTGTTGCCTAGGCTGGAGTGCGGTAGCACAATCTTTGCTCACTGTAACCTCTGCCTCCTGAGTTGCTGGGATTACAGGTGTATTCCCCCACACCTGGCTAATTTATATTTTTAGTCGTGATGGGGTTTCACCATCTTGGCCAGGCTGGTCTCAAACTCCTGACCTCAAGTGATCCACCTGTCTTGGTCTCCCAAAGTGTTGGGATTACAGGCATGAGCCACTGTACCCAGCCTGAACATAGTTTAATGGTACTTCAAGGCTAATACGGAAAGCCCCTTGCTCCATCCTTTCCCATTCCTCAGTCCCATCCTGGGAGATACTCAGCCTTCAGTTTTTTCTGACTCGGTTTTTTCAGCCTTCAGTTTTTGGTTTTAGTTTTCTAAATAATATGATTATACAGCCATTTATTTTTTAGGCATTTGTCAACTTACTATTAAGACAGGTGAAAATTTCTTTTATCCTTTCACATCCTTCTAATATTTTGATTAGATCATGTACTTGTTTGCATAACTGTGATCATACTTGTATGTTCACTCATGAACTAGTTTAATGTGCTTACATTTTCATTCTCATACAACATTTTGTCTTGGAGTTAATTGTCTTATTTTTTGGCTTTTATGCATATCATTGATTCTTCGCAAACAGTCCCAAATAAATTTGTTACAACTTTTCTTGATTCTGTACTTGTTTCAATCTAGACTAATTTCTCTCATCCAGTTGTACAGCAGTTTTCCGGAGACAGCACTATCGTGAGAATTTGTTTTTCTTTCTCTTGAATTGGATCCCTCATTTTCTGGATCCCGTGTCTTAATTTACTTCTTTGTTAACATGGAACACTTCTTTCAGTAGTTACTTGGGAATGAGTGCGTGAGAGATCAGTCAGTTATTTAGTGACTTCATATTTCTGAAAGATGGTTTGCATGGTATAAGAAATTCTAGGTGGAAAAGCAAATTTGGAATTTTTGAAAATTTTGACAAGTGTAATCAAATTTAGAATTTTGAAGGCATTGCTCTATTCTAATTTGCAAAATCTTGAGACATCTGATGCAGTTTTTATTTTTGTTTCTTTGTTTTCTCAGAATCTCTTTGTTTCTCGTGTTCTAAAATTGCATGATACTGTTCTTTGATGGGTTTGGCAACCTGGAAAATATTAAGTTCTTGATCTCTCCCCTTCCTCATTTTCTTTGTTCTGGAACACTATGACATAGTGGAGCTCCCAAATTGAATCTTGGGCTGTATTTTTTTTTTTTTTTTTTTTCTGTCTGGGATATTTCTCTAAGACAATTTTCCAATTTGTACTGCATTTTATTTTTGGCTAGCATTAAATTACTTGTCTCTGTGTAGCTCCACGCTTCACTCTTGCCTCTAAATCCTAGGCCTCCCTGAATTCTGCAGAGTCAGTCCCACTGCCACTCATCAGTGATAGCCCTGCTAAGGCAGATACCACTCTTCTTACCATGTTCAATACATTTGTTGAGCTCTTCTGTATTGTTTCTTCCTATTTTAATTTTTCTGGTTTGTAATTTGTACTCCTGCTTTTTTACTGGGCTTTTGGGAGGAAGAAGGTATAGAGTGTTCATTTGCATGTTGAGTTTATATGCAGGTGACTTTATGAAACTTGTAACTGCTAGACAAGGATGGCTGGGTGTTCAGTGTGTAAGAATGCTTGTGTTAGGCCGGGCGCGGTGGCTCAAGCCTGTAATCCCAGCACTTTGGGAGGCCGAGACGGGCAGATCATGAGGTCAGGAGATCGAGACCATCCTGGCTAACATGGTGAAACCCCGTCTCTACTAAAAATACAAAAAACTAGCCGGGCGTGGTGGCGGGCGCCTGTAGTCCCAGCTACTCGGAGGCTGAGGCAGGAGAATGGCGTGAACCTGGGAGGCGGAGCTTGCAGTGAGCCAAGATCGCGCCACTGCACTCCAGCCTGGGTGACACAGCGCGAGACTCCGTCTCAAAAAAAAAAAAAAAAAAAAAAAGAAAATAAAGAAATAGTCAAAAATCAATCAAGATTCAACTAAAGATGAGTGCTAAAATAACTGGAAGTAAAAACTACACCTAGGAAACTGATACAAAATGGACGTAGGAAAAGCTTGAAAAAGGAAATGCCAAGTATACTGGGTCAGAAGGCAACCATGAGAAAAGAGTAGGTCTAATTTAGAGCATGACAGTTGCTGGGGGGTTAGCGAACCATCCACTTATAAGCTGGGTCTCCTAAGATCAATGCAGCCTAAGCTCTACCTTCACATCCATGGCTCCTAGATCACCATACTCCATTTTAAACACTATTTGCTGAGGAAAAAATGAAAATTGGAAAGTATCCAAAGAAAACTAAAATGACCATAGAAGGACAGTTTTTTAACAAAGACAATTTAAATGAGTTAAAGATGGAAAATCTGGTTAAAGGACAACAAATGCAAAGAAGAAAGAATGTAGGAATGAAAGAATGTAGTGCACATTCAAATTTCTAACAGAAAGGACGAGAGCAGGCAGACAAAAGAACTAAACCCGGAGTGGTGGCACAGCCCAGTGGTGCAGTGGCTCACACCTGTAATCTCAGCACTTTAGGACGCTGAGGCAGGAGGATCACTTGAGCCCAGGAGTTCAAGACCAACCTGGGCAACAAAAGCAAGACCCCATTCCTACAAAAAAAAATTTTTTTTTAATTAGCCGGGCATGGTGTCACACACCTGTAGTCTCAGCTACTTGGGAGATTGAGGCAGAAGTATTACTTGAGCCCAGGTGGTCAAGGTTGCAGTGAGCTATGATAGCACCATTTACTCCAGCCTGGGTGACAGGTCGAGACTCTGTTTCAAAAAAACAAACAACAAGAAAAGAATTAAACCTGGAGAAACCATAATGTGAAGACGTTCAGGGTCTTGGGCAAAACAAACCAAAAAGACCAAGACAGTGTAAATTACAGGGAACACAGCAGAGCTTTATGAAGAAGTAAGGACTTACTGGCTGGGTGTTTCTTTTTCTAAACTTTGTAAGTCAGGAATTGAGCTGAACACTGCAGAAAATGTCAGGAACACACAGACTTTCTTGTCTGCCAGTATTGTTATAATCTGTAAACTAGAGCAGTTTCTTAGGTTGCCAACCTGTGCAGTTGCCGAGGACACTGTGCTTGGTTTAGTACTCTGCTACTGCCATCTTGAAATTATGAAGAATTTATAAACATGGGGCCTGCACTGCATTTTCAGTTTGCACTGGGCTCCACAAATCACATAGCCGATCCTGCACTAAATTCAGACTGTAAAGAATTCCACCACAGGCCAGGCGCAGTGGTTCATGCCTGTAATCCCAGCACTTTGGGAGGCCGAGACGGGCAGATCACTTGAGGTTAGGAGTTCAAGACCAGCCTGGCCAATGTGGCGAAACCCTGTCTCTACTAAAAATACAAAAAATTAGCCAGGCGTGGTGGCAGGTGCCTATAATCCCAGCTACTGGGGAGGCTGAGGCAGAAGAATAGCTTGAACCCAGTAGACAGAGGTTCCAGTGAGCCGAGATCGCACCACTGCACTCCAGCCTAGGCCAAAAAAAAAAGAAGAAGAAAAAAAGAATTGCACCACTACCAGCAAAATGTCTCTTTTCTCCTACGTCTGAAAACAAAACAAAACGCACAGACAAAAACCAGACAAA